GGATAAACAGGAAGGAATTCCATTTTTGCCATTAGTATATCTGCAATGGATAGAATTGTTTATCTAACTTGAAAATTAACAGAAACATASTTCCACAAAGGGAAGAACTAAATGGTTCTGTGCAATTAGACATTTTCAAATTTAATTACTAACTTTATTGCTGCCCATAATACATTAATATCCTGTGTCTTATCAAACCTATAGTTCTGTGGGAACTATAGTATGAAGGATTTGTTATCTAGTATGTAATAACTTCCCTTTGCATGATAGGATTTGTGTAGACATCCCCTTGGTCAATACTACCCATGGACAAAATGTGATTTCTGAGTGCTGTGATCAATATTTGGGTAACCTGAATTTCACATCATGATCCTTGTCATATCAAAAAGGTTCATTGCTAGCCACTGCTTGATTCCTTTTTTCTTTCTTACTTTGTCCTTAATATGTTCTTGAAATCACGATGATCATTGTTTTGTCAATGTGTTGCAGGTTTGTTACATTTTCTGCTCTGTCCATTATTACATTTGCCAGGGATGTCTTGGTGAAGAAAAATATAGTATCCCCTTGGAGTTAAGAAAATATTATTCTGGCAAGTGGCAAATTATAGGCAGTTATTGCATAATTTCAGAGCGAAGTGAGCCGTTATTTGCCCGGAGGGAGCATGAAGTAGCCATGAAGGAAAATGACCCCATGTATCTTGAAAGAAATTAAAAAGTAAGAATCAGTGGACAATTGGGGTGCCTCAGTACCATAAATCTGCCTCTTTTATTTCTTAATTTCAAATAGAACAGTTAAGAAAGGAAGGCATTTAAAAATGAAGGTGCTAAAATCTAAATTCTACCACTAAAGGACCTACTGTCAGATACTCACAAGTAGCTTGGTAAAACATCTAACATGTTGTTATATCAAGAAAGTAGAAATTACTTTCAAAGACATGGTCATTAGAAAAAGTGGCATTAATGGAGAAAGGAAGGCAGTAACAGGATCATCTATTTATAGAGGTTTCCGGCTATCTGTCTATATACGCAGTAGATATTTTTCTTCCTTTGTGGTAATAAAAAAAAAAAGCCAAAACAGGCAATTTTCTAGACAAGTAAATGAATAGGTATAATGGTTTGTGACATTTTAAAAATATAAATGAACACATGGAATGTCCTATTTCCTAATAGTGTGATCTTAACGCACATGAATTCTGTCAACACACAAAGTAAACAAAAATAACACTGGAATAGGGAAATAAAAACGACATTTAAATGCTGCCCACAGCACACCATTCACGTCTAGGATCCATGTGCAGATTATATACCTGCATGCTTTCTGTGGGAACAGATTGCAGATGTAAGAGGCAGAATCTCTCTGAGAAGATAATTTCCACATATAATGCACCTTATCGTTTTCTATCTCTCTGCTACTCCTTCATGTTCATTTTATTGATTCTTCTAAATCAAATTTATCTGCTTTCATTTAACCATGCATCCAGTCCTGTTGGTATTTCTTACTACTCAGCTTTTCATAGATTCCTGAGTTCTGTTTAACTTGATTTTATTTTTATAAATGAAATAACTAAAACACTGACTAAAGCTCCAAAATATTTCCTCAGGTAGATGAAGAAGTTGATAAATTATCTTAAATGCAATTTATGAGTCACATAAAGGACTATGATTTTTTTTTATATCACACACAGTGTACATGGCTTAGTCATATTCATGGACCTGGTACATATCATAGTAGGACTCAATGTCTGTGTTGTGGAAAGCAGGCTGCAGGAGTAAGGAAAGGGCCAGTGAGCAGAGGTAATTTTTCTACATGTTGTCCTTCCACTGTCAATCTAAGAAGAAGAGAAACTGACCTACGCAAATGAAGGCAAATCACTTTGTCACTGCAATGGGAAATGGATGTGCTTGTGATGTGAGCCCTGGAGAAGGACTTCCACCTTTGACTAAAAAGCAGTGAGTGTAAAAAGCAGTGGATTTTTTTTTCTTTTTTTGAGTATGTGATACCCTGCTCTTGAGACCACTCAGCAAAATAAATTTAGGCTAATTGATACAGAAGTCATGAAAGGCTTGTTTGATAATGTTGGCCTACAATTTGCAATCTGGCCTTTAGCCCTAGGGATGGAGACAGTCACTTCTTTGTCTATCTTTTGTGGCACTGGGAATAAAACCCAAAGCTTGCACATGCTAGGGCTAGGCAAGTGCTCTCCCACTGAGCTAAATTGCTACCCCTGTACATCTACTTTCTAACTATCCATGTCTGGATCAGAGGTTTCAAATATCAAGCTTCTTAGCATAACAAGGTAATAAACCTTCTTTCCAACTCAATCATATTTGTGTTTCAAACTCTGTATTTTTTTCAAGTTAGACTTCTCTCTGTTTTGCACATGCCATGTGTTCCCCTGGCAAGCAGGCTTTGTTTAAACTGCTCTCTATTTTACCTATGTGGCTAATTTCTCTCTTATATTCAAGGATTCCTGGAGTCTCTTCTCATTCCACATTCAGAAATGTTCCCTTCTTTTATGGCTGTATCAGTTCATCTTTAGTTATGACATTTTATAACATGATTCTTATGATCAAATTTTGTATCTTTTGTTGATGTCTGATCTCCTCGATAAGAAGGTTAGTCAACTGAGGGCAGGATCAAATCCTGTTACCTTTCTATCTTCCTGAGTAATAAGATTCTGCTCATTTGCTTTTTCCATACACATTGATACTATATTCTCTCTCCCTTTCTCTCTGTCACCACCCCCCCCCACACACACACACATGTACATGCACAGATACAAACACACAAACACAAACTCACAAAGGAATTTGGGATTTTTCACAGTCTTATGATACAAGTATCTAWCCAGAAATTTCACTAACATCTGAAAAAGGTCATTGATCCCTTCTCTCCTCCTACCCCCTCTCTGTAAGATGACTCATTGTCTAAACCTTATTCTCCTCTGGCATAGTTCAGCTCTTAGCATGAGATAAAAGTAATTTTACTTCTAATAACAGGAATACAATTTTCAGAGCTGTATTTCCCTGATTGCCTGGTGTGTATTTGCATGTGTGTGCACACGTATGTGTGTACACCCACCATCAGTCACTCCCTGTGTTGGGGTGAAAAATCACAAGCTTTCTGGTGAAGAAGTTATTTGGAACTGGTAGTACTCTTTCAGCTGTCTTCTGTAATTTTATGTGTGTGGTTTTCTCATGATCTCCTAGAGAAATCAAGAAATGGTAAAAATAAGAGTCTTTTGTTTTTCACACTTAAAACACCCAATGTTTTCATCTTTTACTGCAAAAAGGCCATGAACTTAAGTACAGTTGGTGTGATCCAGAACCAGTGAAGGTTGCACAGAGGCTCTCTTGACGAAAGAACTTCCTAAATATATTGCCTGGCATAATATCAAGAGGGAAGGAGAGGTTCTCAAGCTGTAGGTGCAGAGAGTGCTTCTGGTTAGAAGGCCACAATGTATGTTGAGAACTTCCTTTTCCCCTTGTCTCTTCTGCATAACCCCATCCTAGGGTACAAAGAAAATGAGTCTTCTGTATAAACCCTTCTGCATGGAGAGAACTAATCATCACCAGTATCTGCCCTATCCATGCTCACTTGTGTTTACTGCTTAGCCCTTCTCTTGGCCTCCCTGAAGTCAATGACACATCTATCTGGTCATTGCATGGGGTAGGGGAAATGGGGGGGGGGCACTCGATTTCTGAGCCCTTCCATATTTCTATCTCATCCGATTTTTATGTCATCACTGACAAGGAGAGAACCTGGGTGCTCCCTGAGACTCAGGTGAGGCAATTAATTATACTCTAAGAAGCCAGAAAAAAAGTGCAGACTAAAGGACCTGTTGTCAGTTCCAGCTGGCCGCCCTAACACAGGGGCAGGGAGACAAGGGCCCTACATCCAGTGATTGTGCCTCTTACYTCGCTTGTTCCACAGGTTTGACATTAAAGTGACAAATCTTTTCCTACCCCTCCAGGAGAAATAATGATATGCCTCAACCTTAGGTGAGGAGAGTTACTTCTGGGTGCTTGCCACCGTTCCATCACTTCAATTTACACTTGCACATGCACGCAGTGTACGGGTGAGTGGGAGGGGGTAAGGGTGACTGGCCTGGGATAGGATCTCCGCACAATTCATCATTTTACATTTACAGGACGTCAGCCCTTGCATTCCTGCGGGAACCTGGTCAATGCTGTGCTTTAGGGACCTTAGGCAGAGCCAACTGTGTGGCGATGAGAGACTGTAGACTTATCTAAGGACGCAGCGAAGACTCACAGGCCTGTTGAACGCAGCCCCTCCCACAACTCACCCCGCCTCGATGTCCCTTAAGATACCTGTTCTTGGCAGCAACATGTAAAGAAACACTGCACATCTTTCCGCCTGTCCTCTAGCGCCAGAGGAGACCGGCCCTGTAGATACTAGAGGACAACTGCTTTCCCTCTGCGGTGGCGGAGTGGAGAGCACGGGAAGGGGACAGTCGCGGGAAGGTGCCAATCTGCTCCACGTCTGAGAGAGAGGAACGATCTGGGAGAGACGGAGAACTCCTCCCCACTCTCCGCACAAGCTTAAGGAGAAATGAGACCAAGGAATTTATCGCTTGCCCCGCGGTCTCCCGGGGCCGCTGAGCCCGGGTGCGACTGAGGCACTGAACCAGGAGGCCGTCTGCAGCATCAGCAGCGGTACCGGTTCAGCTTCCCCCGAGGGGCCAGCGGGGAGAGGGAGCTTGGAGGCTGCTTGTCACCTCCTTTCTTGGCCCAGGGGCGTGGCCCCGCGTGAGGGTGACTGTCAGGTTGAGTGTGGGGTCATCACTCGCCGGTTATACTCTGGCTAGCCCACCGCAGCAGCAGCACATCTATTTGGAGACACGGGGGAGCGAACCAGCAGCTTTGAGCTCCACTGCGGACGAATCCCGAGGCTGCGCGCCTCCGAGTGCCGCGTCCGCCGAGCCGCGCGGAGGGATACGCCTCGGCCGCGCCTCCTCGCCCGCGTCTCCGCCCCCGCCTCCCTCCCGCCCGGCTCTGCTGCCGCCGCGGCGGCCGCTGCTGCTGCTGCCGCTGCCGCCGCTGCTGCCTGGATATAGTGCGGCAAGGAGCGGAGCTTGCAGTCACTTTGCGAGGAGGAGCGCGCGGGCTGCGGGCGGCTGGGGCACCCCGGGAGCAGCGGCGGTCTAGCAGAGGTGGCCGTGGCAGCGGAAGGTTCTCTCTCCAGGGCTGGACTTAATAACTTTGGAACTGTCCACCAGTGTCACGTCCTGAACATGAGCCTCCTCCTCTCCTTCTACCTGCTCGGGTTGCTTGTCAGTAGCGGGCAAGGTAGGAGTGTGGTGCTTTATTGCATTTACTTTCCCTCCCCCTTCCACCCAACCAAGAGAGGCAAAGAGGGAGGCACAGGAAGAATTAAATGAAAGAAGTAAAGTTACAGTTATTGTTGTTGTTGTTATTATTTTAGCTCCWTCTTTTAGCAGCCCCTAAAATTGTGTCTATTTTGTTGAGACCCTCAAATAAGAGAAGAGAAAATACAGAATTGGAGATGGGCATCAGTGAGCAGGAGACCGAGGCAAACTGCGTCTTTTTTCTGGGATTTTTAGCTTTCTGATTTTCATTTTCAAAAACTGGATGAGTATGTCGATGTGTATTCATAGTTAAATATCTGAGGTTGCGAAAGGAAAGGGTACAGTGATATTTTACAGAACCAGCAAAAACTATCAGCATTAAACTAATTTGTAAAATATCTGTTGTATGCAAGGAATTAGAGACTCTTTTCCCAAGACCCATTCCTGGCTATGAAGTGAACGATGATGGCTTATTTATGTAGGAAACTAAGAGAGGGGCCATCGATGTTGTGTGTAAGAAAGCAAATGGATAAAACTAGGGATGTGTTGCAGTCATTCATTTTGACCCCCTCCCCTCCCCCTTGTTAATACAGCAAAATTGAAGAATTTTATAACATCAGATTGTAATTACACCTGTAAGGGATTTGGGAGGTTGTGGAGAACTGGTGGGAGCTTTTATATCTTGGGAAAAGAAAGAAAAGAAAAAAAAATATAGCCTAGTAGAATAACCTAAGGGAGAAATTGTGGTAGCTACCTCTGTTAATCTGTATAAAAATAAATATAAATTTATCTTACTTATTTTGATAGTGCACATTCACATAAAATATATTTACAATAAATGGAAACATTTTCAACTGTCCAGACAAGTTTGGACATTTAATTGGGGAAACAAAATGCTAAAACATGTATTGGTTGAAGTCTTTACAGGAAAAAAAAATATCAATAATTTTGTAATGGGCACTAATAGAAGATAATATTACATTATTAGTGTAGCATGAAATTTTTTAATAAAATAATAAATTGTGAGATAACTTAAAATATCTTCACTATGTTCAATTCTAAGCATTTTAAGGCTCTTCTGTGTTGCTCATTTGGTCCAGCAGGGGGTGGTAGAACTCCATTTTATGCCCTGAAATGGTTGCTTCTGCTCTTGCACAGAGTCCTTCTATCATTCTTCAGCGGGGCTTGACATTTTGGATGTGAAAACCTTCCTTTCTCTGCCCTTCTCCTCCCCAAAGCTTTAGTGTTGGTGGATGATGAAACACAATTGGATGCACATTTTATGTTTAGAAATAAGAATGCAAATGATGTATATTTTTATAGTTTGTGAAGTGTCTTAGTAAGATACTGTTCATTTCCCCATAACATGGAGTATGTAATATTTCAGTCTTAGAAAAACTGCAGATATGTTCATCTGAAACCAGCATTAGCTCAATCTGTTAATTCCACCACTCTTATAGCAAATATCAACATACACTTATTCACTGCAGATAATGCTGCTTTAATTTTTTGGAGAGCAGCTGATTTTGTTTAACTATTCATTTATAATATAGACTGGTATTTCTGAATACTAAGAAACAGAACTTAAAATTGCAGTTAAAATACAATTGCAATTAAATAAATATAGATAGTATGGGAAAATGTGGGGCTTTAAAGGAAGCAAGTTTATGCAGACTTATGATTACATTATGAGTGGTTTGGAGAAGAAAAATGTCTCGGTTGTGGAGTCTGTACATTTTTCATTTCAGTCACTAACTGTGCTGGAATTTGGGGATACAAGGAAATCTAGGAACGTTTAATATCTAGATTTAAACACTACACCCAGACATATATAATTTTGTCTATACCTGGAACCTRAATTTGAAATTGTGATTCTGCTAATTTATAATCAGAATGCAAGGTGGTTATAAAGAAGGGCTCTGAAAGGGAAGCATGCCTGTGGGGGAGYCCATATTCACTGTAAGGAAACAGGGTAGAAGGAGAGCATCATTGTAAGGAAGATCTCTATCTGGTACAGTTTCAAAATGCATAAGACTTATAGAACCATCGACGCATATCAGAGGAACCTGGCTTTTGTGAGGACAAACATGTAGTGCTTCTGTGCCATGTGTCTTAATGAAATCAGAGATGCTTGGAAATAGAAATCCTCATCTTGGAGACTAATTCCTCTGTGCTAGTGTTTTGTTCTCTAATTAAGGATGCAAGAGCAAGTATCAGACACGCCACTGGGAGCTGTTTTAAAAAAAAAATGGATCTCGTGTAACTCATAMTTTTGTTTATTCTTTTGTAAATAGGGCCACGGAAAAGCTACCAGGCAGTGATCCCTGGGCTTGCCTTAGAAATACTAAAACCCCAGCTTGCTGATTTATGTTTCCAACAATATACTTGCAGGGGATTTTATGAAGCATGATTGAAGCTATTGCTTTGGAAAGTGGTGTGCAGTTAGACCGGGGAAAGGCAACGATGATGTATTCCCTTTTAAGTAGTCAAAACGTTTTGAACCGCAGCAGTTRAATAGGAGAAAATGACACAAGTGAAAAACTGAGTAACTTAAGTGGATGCCAATACCATAATTAGCTAATGAGGCCTAATAGTCCTTCCTACTCCTAACTTTCAACGCAACCTTATTGTTCTACTGTAGTGAGAGCTTTTTTATTGGGGCAGAAAGGCTCCTTTAAAAGCCACTCATTTCCACCGCAAGATTAATATCTAATGAAGCAAGGTTGTAATTTAATTGTCAGGTTTGATTTTGATTGTCCGTGTAAGGGAGATTTTGTAGTTCTGTAACTTTTGCAATTATTTTTTGCTTTTTATTCAAAACTTGGTSATAGCCTCCATGGTCATTAATTCTCAAGTGATAACTTGAGTCTTGGATGGACCACAGTGGATTTGATGCTGTAGTATTTGTAAATTCAAATTCCCAAACATTTTTAAACATTCCCAGTGTTCAAAATCATTTTCTTCTTCTTTTAAAAATTGTTCAGGCATGACTAATAAACATCTGTAAGTGGTTGTTCACGTGTAGGAAATAGAAGCACCATTGTACTGAAGCCTAAGGTGAGAACAGTGCTGTTCACGTGTCCTTGCAGTCTAGTTCAACCACCCATAGAACACTTATTTATGCCAAACTCATGTGATAAGTGTGTTTTTGTGTGAATTGCCAATTTAAGTGGTTAAACCAGGCATCAGCTTACAGTTATTCTTTCTGGGGAAGTGCTAATAAATCATTGTTTACTAGAGAAATGTACCTTCTAAAACTAGAGCACAGGTGTGTGAGTCTAYGAGTTTCAGGTGTATAGGAAATATTTCCCCAAACTCATCCTCTGTCCAAGCTGTTACACACTCACAGCCTTGAATATCCTTTTTTATATCCTTTCATATCCTTTTTATGTCTATCCTGCTCTAATTCTTTGATGCCTGTGTCTTTGTCAAAACTTTCTATTGAATCAACTGCATATTTATTTGCACTTAGAAGACAGGCTATGTAAATAAATTTCTTTCTTTCTTTTTTTTTTTTTTTTTTGTCAATGAACATCTCCAAGGAATTAAATAGACCATTTTCTTACGTTGGTTTCTCATGCTAACTCTGAGCCCACAAAGCAAGAAGAGAAGTTGGTGTGTCCCCAGTGTCAGATGAGTTTCTTCAGTGACTCAGGGCAGCTTATGGTCTCCCAGAGGCAAAAATCCTCTAGAGAAGCAATTAACAGAACAAAAGAACCTCCTTTAGTACAAGAAGAAAGTCAAACTTTATATAATTTTGTAAATGAAATGGCCTTCTTTCAAAAATAATGCCAGTTGTTAATGAGACTGAGAATTGAACTCTAGATTGAGGGTAGTAACTAAGCTGAACAGTGTAATTTGCTTTTGTCTGTTTCCTTGTGTGGGAGTAGTGCACATAGGAACAAGATCCACAATCGGAAGGTTCTGGAACTGGTCCTGCTGCATCACTGGCTTTTGACATTTGGGAAATCATTTTAACTTATCTGTTTTCAGGGTCATCTCTCATAGCAGTGAACTTTAGAGAGCATGAAGAAAAGTGCTCAATAAGTGATAGAACAAGTCTGAATTGCTTTTCWTTTTTTTTTTTTGTCCAAAATAAAAGTAATCCTCTGGGTGTTGGTGTAAGCAAAATTAATCTAATAATTTTAATATTCTTATAAAGGCAGAATGTTTCTCAAGTTTAATTTACCTAAATTCTGAATTCCTTGAACCTTTATACTATCCAATTATATTGCATGTAGGCCTATTTAAGAGATTATAAATGAGATTTAATTTTCAAAATTACATGATAGGAGATCACTTTAAGATGCAAGCAGTGCCTTTGTGATTTTAATTGTAATATTCCTGCACTTCATAGAGCAAAGCTATCTTTAATTGTTCAACAAATAAAAGCATTTTTTATGGCGCAAGTCAAATTTGTAACAACTCCTAACTATTTAGTTATGATAGTGCCGATCACAGATAGTGAGCAACACATATCTTAGTTGCACGTGTTTACTCGTACCACTGACACTTCATTAAACTCCAGAAAACATTTTAAAAGCTATGATGTAATGAAACAGACTTGTCTGAATTTAAATAATTAAGAGGCATGATGAAGACTTTTGAGAATGTTTATGAGCATAGCAATCAAAAAGTTGAGAGTTTAAAGAATTTTCTGTCAGTTGATCAAATTTTTTCTTGGTTCTCTTTTATTATAAAACAAAAAGGGGAATGGGAAAAGCAATGGTTCTGGAATCATAAAACCCAGACTACTCAGTGTCTTGACTTTGAAGAAATAATTTGAACTTAGAATCACTCTTTGCTCATTTGAAAATGTAATATGATAAAGCTGACCTTGATACTCAGCCATGAGGAGTCATTGTGATAATAGATAAAGTGTAGGCACCTTGTAAAATGTCAACTCCACTATGCCAGATATTTATATATTTTAATAATAGACATACAGATAAACTTACCTATTGTTCAAAAATTGTCTCA